CTCCTTCACCTTGGCCTCCAGCTGGATCTTGGACTTGATCAGCAGGTCGCAGCGTTCCTCTGCATCTGCCAGGTTGTCTTGCTCCTGGGAAAGGCACAGGAGAGACAGTGCTCGTCCATTGTCCCAGGCACATACCAGCAAGCTGTCAGCCATGCTATCCTGGCTCAAAGCTGAACCTCTCCTGGTGGAAGGGGCAGAGCAAGCCCGAGGTGCTCAGGTGTACAAAAAAAGACAGCTCCAGTCACTGTCCGTTTTCAAAGCCCACGGAACTAACACTGACCAGGGCCAAAGAGCTAACAGCAACTAAACCTTGCCAGAGGAAGGAAACAGTGGACTGACACTGTCCTGGCATGGAACCAGCACAGATTAGCCACAGTTGCCGGGCAAACACTGGCATCCCTCCCACCCTCTTGTGAGGAGATCACCCTTTCCAGAGCCAAGGGAGCATGAATCCCCACGGCAGCCTTGAGATGGCAAGTCTGCGACATTGCTTCAGGTTTGCACTGAGTCTAACGTTGCATTTCAAACAGATTGTGGCAATAAGGGGGCCTCAGAACTGCCAGAGGCTGAAGGAGGGATCTAGCACAGTCTGCTCCTTCTTCTACCCATGGGCCCTGCGCTACCTTTACACTTCCAGAGACAGGGTGAGGTACTCACTGCCTGCAGCTGGAGAGCCAGGTCATTCTTCTCCTGGATCATGGAGACTTGCTTCTCTTCCAGCTCCTTCCTCTTAGCCTCAGACTTCTCCAGAGCCTCTTTCAGCTTCTGGAATTCCTCCTTCAGGTTGGACATTTCCTTCTCAGTCTGAGCAGACTTGAGTAAAGGCTTGATCTTGAAGAACAGCTTCATCCAGGACCAGTTCTTGACAGCATTGAAGGCCCGGATGTTCCACTGAATGGTATAGAGGGCTTCCCTGGAGGGATACAAGTGCAGCATCATCATGGGTGTAAATTCCCCACCTCCCATTCACTGCAGCAGAGACCTGGCTTTTGTAGGCCTGGGCATGGCTCTGTTCTTCACCAGGAGGGCAACTGGCAGCATGTTGCATGAATGGCACATTGTCTGCCCACTGTAATGGCCCTAGTGGGATGGGTGGTGTGGCCTGGCTGTCAGGTCTCCTCACTCTACATATCTCTGAATCTTCCAGTGGAAACCAAAGGCTCCCAACCACCTAGATACACTGACCCTCCCTACCAGGCCCATGTCAGACTTCTCGCAGAGCCGTCTTCACCTCTTCAGGACAGGGCCTCACCCAGACACTGCCAGCCATAGGCAAGCCCCACAGTTCAAACCCACTGAAATGTGCAGAAGGAACAAGAGGAGATGTTCACAAGGTTCTACCTTCCCCCACAACTCTACCTCCTGCTGATGATCTTCTGATACTCAATACGCATGAGGTGCCCACGGATTCTGGCCTGCAGCATGGTCAGGATCTTGGCCAGACGCTCATCTCGCATCTCTTCCAGGAAGCCCAACAAACCAGCCTTGAAAAACACCTGCAGGCAAGAGGGTGAGAACAGAGTCAACAGCAGAGAGGACAGAGGGCTGAGGGGTAACAAAACCTGTCAGGCAGACCTGGGCCACATGCAGCCCAAAGCAGGGATACACAGAGCAGCGAGGGCTACGCACTGCAGGTTTAGGTGCCCTCCCTGCACGGGCGCACACCCACGCTCTGCCCTGGTTGGAGGTGCACCCACACGAGGCACAGGCACAGCTGAGCACCAAATCTCCCTGCCCTGCACTCAATCCCTCGCAGCCCCCAGCAGAGACTAGCTGCTGTGTTGGGTGGGATGAGGTCAGGCAGCAGTGACCTTCTGCTCAGACCTATTTCTTCCCAGTCTGCATCTTCCTCTGCCCTCCTCAGTCCCTTCAAGGGCCACCTGCATTTTCTGTGGCCAGGCACAGAGCAAGCTGGGAGAACGGAGAGCAAACTGGGATTGCAGGGAGACAGGAGGGGCAGTGTCTCCCTCCCACGGACCAGCTGCCTGGTCTCACCTTGGTATGACCAAACTTGTACTGCGAGTGGTCCAGCTCCAAGGAGCTCAGCAGCTTCTCTGTGGCTTTTCTGCTGTCCACAAACTTGTCATCTGGAATGGCTGCTGGATTCAGGATACGGTAGCTGCAGGGACAAAGCAGAGAACCCCAGCACAGAGCTGATGGCTCCGTCATCATCATCACTGTACCCCAGCCACACCAGCTCCCCCTGGAAGCACATTGCTGAAGCACAGGCTGGTGCTGTGTATGAACCAGGAGCTTCAGGGTGAAGTATGGGCTCTTCTGCAGAGCAGGCACCAGGGAACCATGTCAGATCTTAGTCCCTGAACACAAGACTGTGCAGGAGGAGGCCACTTGCCTCACCATGCCTGGTCAGGTCCAGGCCAAGCAGGGTGGATGAGGCCAGCTGGAGAAAGTTAAGGATCCCAGGGGCAGAGAGAAATCTGAGCAAGGATTGGAGGACCTGGGCCTTGTCACCATCCACTTGCACCAGGTCTGCATTCAGCATCTTCAGACATCACCAGCCCTGCTGTCCCATCATGTCTGGCACCAAACTATCCATGTCTGGCACCACAGAGCTATCCCGGACTGTACGTGCATTGGGCGTATTGTGGTGGTCCAGACCAGCCCTGCACAAGCTGGGGAGCAGGTCAGGGGCAGGGTAAGTCCGTCTCCCCTCAGAACACGCGTGAGTTGCTGGGCAAGGAAGAAGAGGGAGTTACCGCTGCTTGAAGTCTGCATAGAGGATCCTGTTGGGGAATCCCTTACGGCAGATGCGGATACCTTCAAGGACACCGTTACACCGCAGCTGGTGCAGAACCAGGAAGGCATCCATGGCTCCTATGGGTGGGAACAAAGATGGAGCAGACACTCAGCCCAGGCAGACATGGGAAATGGAGCTGCAGCATGGCCCTGAACTCTAGAAACAGCCCATGGCTTTGAATGCGGATGTTAACCTGTCCTGTGGGCCTATGCTGAGCACCAGTGCTTCCACCGCCTCAGATGGTGGAAGTCAGCCTGAAAGACTCATCCATGCCTGCTGTTACACACGAGTACAAGGCAGCCCAACCATCAACGCACAGCCAAAATGGGAGCCTGGCATAACTCATTCTCCCCAGTAGAGGAGATTGGCGTGGGTCACAGGGGTTTCCACACTGAGATGGGGCTGGGTCTCAGTGGCAGCAGGACTGCTGCAAGAAAAGGGTTGGGGAGAAGGCAGGTGCAAGAGTCGCTGACAGCTCCCACATGTGGATGTCGCCCAAGGGAACTGCCAGGGTGCTGCTGTCTCAGTCCATGCATACCTGGGGTCTTTGTCTCATTGGGGATGATGCAGCGGACAAAGTGGGGCTGAGTGGAGCGCAGGTTGGTCATCAGCTTGTTGAGATTCTCCTGTAGGGCAGACACAGGGGATGAGGCATGAGGTGACAGCTCTGCTCCCCTACAACACTTCATTCCAGGCCCTTCCACCCACAGGCTGGGAGAGAGCAGGCAGAGAGCCCCTTACCACTCTTCATGAGAGAGGGGGCATTTCCTCCTGCTTGGCTGCTCTCTGCTGTCCTGCCAACAGGACATCCCCAGCCCCATAGCAGGACCACTGCCTTCTGTCAGGGTGGGAGCAGTGGGGACTGGGCTGGCAGACATGCCAAATGGCACCTGCAGGTTTTGCTATGCCAGAGAGGAGCCAGATGCTTCCCAAGAATTTGTAGGTAAAGCTTTGCTGCAAGGGAGAGACAGGAATACAGGACTGAGCATATTCCTGGTACACAGCTCTGCTGGTGCCCATCAGCCCTGTGCTCAGCACCCTACAAATCCAGTGCTGGCATCCACATTGGCTGCAGTCCTCATCTCATCAGGTTCTCCCTGCACCTCCATGGTGCTGCCCATGCCCTTCAGCAGTGACAGAGGGACCTGCCGATCCAGCCTGGGCCTCCTTTTCTTTCCAAGGTAGGGCTCAAACCAAGACATGGCCCTGCCTTTTCTTGTGGGAAAGGCATCTGCACCCTCAATCATTCCAGGCTGCCTTCCCTTGCTCGTCCAGGCTTAGCCTGCCCAGGCCCAGCTCGGGGAAGGGACTGCCTTCCCACAGCTGCGTGTCATCATGGAGCAACTTCCCACCACAGACACCTTTCCCCAAGGCCTGTGACTTGTTCAGGAGGAAGAAAGTCACACGTCTCCCTGAACAGGAGCTCCGACACAAGCAGTGCCCTCTTTGAGCATCCCGTCACCACAAGGCTGTCATGGCAGGACACAGCTTTGGGCTCACATACCCCTCTGTGCTGTTTTCCAGTTGCTTAAGCTCTGGGGTGGACAAATAACTCCTGTGGTGAGCATGGGAACGGGGAGGTGTGTTATCCTGAGCTGTAAAATAGCTCAGGCCACCTCCCTGGGCAGGACAGCAGAGAGCTGCCTGCTCAGTGACCTGTAAGATCCTCCTCCATTTTCTTCTGCCCAAAGGCTGTCCTTCCCGCTGACAAGAATGAGGAGAGAAGTAGCACAGACTTAAAGTGATGTTCATGTAATACATTATCTAAACATCACTACAAGTCTTAACTGCCGCTCTCTCAAAGGCGAAGGAGCTGCCGGGCAGCACAAGCATCACGTGGGCAGAAGCAGCACAAGCGCCAGCTCAAAGGGAGCCATCGCTCTCCCGGCCTGGAGCCTCGTGTCCTTCCCTAGCAGCACAGGGATACGGCTGGGACTCTGCCAGGCACAGGCCCCTTGCCCAGGGATGAAGGGGTGTTAGGAGCTTCTGCCTAGTGGTGGTCTTTCAGGAGCCCTGGTGGTCCTTCAGGCCCCAGGAGCTCATGTGCAAGTTAACCCAGAGTCTGGTCAGGGAAGTGGGACTGATACTGGGACACTCTGAGCATGCTTCCTTCATGGTCTTGGATGAGGGGCTGGCTCTTACCTTGTGCAGCTGTGACACTGTTTGGAAAGAAGCTGCCTTTTTACGTTTCTCCTTGGTCCCTGGCTTGTGAGGTTCCTCTGTTGGTTGAAACATTGATTAATTACATCAGCAAAACATTTGCCCAGCTTGAAGGACTCAGGAGCACCCCCAGACACCCCTGAAATGCTGACAGCCCCTGCTTTCTGTAAAGCAGAGGTAGTAGTGCCCTGACACAGAGCAAAGCTGCAGACCACCAAAACCATCTCCCACAGCACCCAACTCCAGGTGTTGCTCCTCAGCTTTTGGTAACAAAAGACCCCTTCACATATCCTGAGTCTCTGGGCCACCAGGACAACTCTACAGCACTGCACAAGCTCAGCCTAGTCCTAACCACCCACCTAAAGCCCCTAGGCCAGCACTGCATGTCCAGAGTACCCACCCACCCACGTCAGGGAGGTTTTTAGTGGTCTTCCCTTTGCCCGAGCTGCTAGGTGCAGGAATACTGCACCTACAGCTGGGTGTGGGAGCAAGGAGGCTTTGCTGCAAAGGGAGGGAGAGACCGAGGTCAAAAAAATGGTGAGGCTGTTCCTCACCTGAAGTAGAGCTCACGTAGTTCTCATAGAGGGAGGCCAGGAGCTTGTTTTGGGATTTCTGGAAGACGGACACCACTGTCTCATTCAGGGGGTCCTTGTTCTTGTCCAGCCACCCAATGATGTTGTACGGCACCTGTCACCAGAGGAGAGAGGCAAAGGTAAGGACAGCCCTGCAAGGGGGAAGGTGTGAATGCTGCAGAAGAGCCGACACGGGACGTACCACACCAGCGTAGTGCACCAGCTCAAAGTGGGCTTCGTATTTCCGCTTTTTATCTGGCCGAGGCTTCTGGAAGTTGGGCGACTTCCCAATGTGGTTGTCGTAGAGCTTAGCTTTGAACGACATGTCAGATGCCTTTGGGAACATGCACTCCTCTTCAAGGATGGACAGGATCCCCAGTGGCTGCAGGGAGAAGGTGGTATAAAGAGGTCTGAGATCAGCATTTCCACGTCCCATCCCAGAATGGGGATTCTCTGTGCCACTGACCAAGGTGAGGCAAGCCTTGACTTGGGAGACCTCGCCTCATTCAGAGAAATGGTGCAAGACAATGACCACGGGGCAAGCTATCACTGGTGTATTCCAGGCTGCATCTGACCTCCAGCTGGAGTGGGACTGGCCAGGCCTGCAAGACATTGGGGCTTGCCCACGTCCATCAGATTGTTGGGAAGGGGACATCCTCTCCAGTATCCTGATAGGTTTGCTCCTTTCCAAAAAGAAGGCTGAGTTTACTCCATGCAATGGTGGAAATACTTTATACAAGGTGCTCTGAATCGGCATGTACTCAAGGGGCACCGAGGGGCAGCAAGTGGGTAGGAAAAAAGGGGCAGAGATCACTGTTCTCTGGAGGAAAAGGCCACACCAGGTATTGTGGCTCACCGGTGGGTAGGAACAGAGTCTCTGTGGTTTCATAAAACCAAAATTTGTGTCAAAAATGACTCAATGGGCTGGAGGCTCTGAGCTGTAAGTGTGGGGAAAACAAAGTTGGGCACTTGCCACTGACTGGGGAGGGAATAATTTCATTTCTGGTAGCAGAGCACCTCTCATTGTTCCAGTCTTTGCAAAGAAGCCGCCTACCAGAAGTACCGTTCCTGTGCCCTGACTCATGCTTTACCTTCTCAATCAGGTCGATGCAAGCCTGCAGGTCCAGGCCAAAGTCAATGAAGACCCATTCGATGCCTTCCTTCTTGTATTCTTCTTGCTCCAGGACAAACATGTGGTGGTTGAAAAACTGTTGCAGCTTCTCATTGGTGAAATTGATGCACAGCTGCTCAAAGCTGTTGTACTGCAAGAACAAAACAAACCTGCGTCAGAAGAAGGAGCTCCAGACACCAAGGGATTCACTCTTCTGCTTTGTCTGGGTGTGAAGAGCGATCTCTGCTAGGCTCAGCTGGATTGCTACCAGAGCAGGTAGCCAGGAATCATAGGAGATGTGCCTACAGCAGTGTTAGAACAGTCCTTGTGAGCTGCCTATTTGCTCCAGATAAATTCATTCAGACAAGAGCTCTTTTTCTCACCAAGGCCAGCAGTTTCTTGGAGGAGATAGAGCTGCCAGACACTAGAGAACTGAGCTGTCTAGCTACAACATTCCCCCAAACCAATTGCAGGTGGCCTGCAGAACTCACATCGAAGATCTCGAAGCCTGCAATGTCCAGTACTCCGATGAAGAACTGTCTGGCCAGCTTGGTGTCTAGGGTCTTGTTGATCCGAGTCACCAGCCACTTGAACATGCGATCATAGGTGGCTTTAGCCAGGGCTCCCACAGCATAGACAACCTGCCAAAGCAAATCATAGAGCAGGTCATGAGCACCTATGCTTCTCCCTGCTTTTGTAGAAGCTAGAAGCTGAAGAAGAGAACTCCTCTTGGCACACAAAGGACAGATCCAGGGAGTTCATGGTTACAGGATATGCTTCAAGATTAGTTTTCACATGCTCACAAGTGTGTTCTCGTGTCACTGGCCTGGTCTTTGCCTCCAAAGTCTTAGGATACAAACTCAGCCTAAAGTGATATTTTCAGAAGCCTTGTGCATGGCAGGAGCCTACAGCTCACTTTGGATAAGACACCAGTTCCTAATGTCCTCTGGAATTTTACTCGAGGACTGGCTTGTACTATCCAGGCCAGGTTTGGGTTCCTAACTGTGATGTGGCTGGAATCTGACAAGATACATTTTTGGTGCATTTGAGTCTCACACAAGACCAGTTTAGGTGAGTTTTAGATGAGTATTTAGATGAGTTTTCTATTTTCCAGAGCTGAACTCTTCATGAGAGTGTGACCATCTCTGAAGCAGATCCATAGAAACTGGACCTCTTCTGGCTGTGTTCCAACCCACATTTCAAAGATACTGCATTGATCCTCCAGCCTTGGTTAATATCCAAAGTTATCTCCAGCCCTTCTACCAACTTTCCCAGCTGCTAAAAGCCAGTAACTGTGGATAGATTTTCTCATGCTGCTCTGGAGTCTCCTAAACCCAAGAGTGTGAACTAAAGCACCAGTTGCCCTGTACAGAGAACATTACACAAGGGGCCTGCCTGCAGAGGAGTCACACATCAGCATGAGTACTGAGCCTGTGTCCTGGCACGCTCACCTGTTCCACATTCTGACCTTTGGTCACATATTCATTGCCCACTTTCACACGAGGATGGAGCAACCCCTTGATGAGGTCAGCTGAGCTGATTCCCATCAGGTAGGCAGCTTTGTCAGCACCTGTAAAAAAGTACAAGGGCATGAGGAGCCAGCAAGGAAGCCCCGGGGAGGAAAAAAAAAAAAAACCAAAAAAAAAAAAAAAAATTACCGGCTCTTCTACTGATCAGTGCTAACTACACTAGTTTTGCCACCTGCTCCAGAGTCTCCTCCAGTGTTTATTGTGATTTCCCATCTTAGATATTGTATGATGCTTTTAATGTATGATGGACCTCCTGCCTGAGAAGTTACTGTTTGGAGAAGATGGCCATAGCAGACCTGCTGCACCTTGTCAGGTGCCTATCAGGTTTTTGAGTCTTCTTAAGCTGAGGATTTCTATGCATTTTCCAGTAGAAGCTTGATTCCCATGCAGTGAGTTGGAACTGACCAGAAGAGAGGTGATTTTTCTTGCTTATCTTTCATAGGCTCCTAATAGCAGACTGTAGCTAGAAAATCACCTCTGTGGGGAAACCACTGCTTGATCAAAATGTTCTTTCATTACCAGGGAGCAGCTGAATCCTGTGTTGACATTCCTCAAGCAAGTGGAACTCTTCCTTCATGAATGTTACCATGACAAGGTCTGATCCAGGTAGTCATTTCTGCTGGATCTCTGCCTCAGCTGATGTATAGTTACTGCTTAAACCTTCCAGTTAAGTGATAGGGCTCTGCCTTCTCATCCTTCCACATGCTAGAAAGTCACCTTCTCCTTGAAGCTCGCTCCATTATGCCTGGGAGCCAGGCATAACACAGCAGTGCAAAAGCAATAGAAAATATTTGACCTCTGACTTTTCTGAATTTTCAGGTTTGCTCTGCAGCCTGACTGTTCTCTTAGATCTATGGTTTGCATTGGATTTTCCTAAGCAACAAACAAGGAAAAGTATTAGCCAGTGACTGTATCCTACTCTAACTGCTCTTCAGGAAGCTGTGACTTGAGCAGGTCCTTGCAGTCCTGATCACGGCCTGGCTCATATTCTGTGGATGACCTGCTCTGGAAGGCTGTCTAATGAGGTGCAAGACAAGAGCTGATGAGGGGGAGAGGACTGAACAAGGTGAAGCACGGACAGGGTGTGGCAGCCTGTGGTGTTGCCGAGGCAAGTCTGATGCAGATCAGACCACCTAGTGCCTGCAGACAAGGCTGTCCTAAACGTGCCTGCTGAAGGACAGGCCTTTTTTTGCACCTACAGCAGGTCCCAAGACAGTGTGGTTGCTTGGGATCATGGTCACTGACCTTCACAGACCAGGCCAGGGAAGTTATCACAGTCTGCACTTGAAGGGATTTGCATGCCCAGCCCAGGCTGGGCAGATCTGGCAGCGTGGAGCCAAACTCACTTTCAGTGCCGTCAGCCTCTGCCTGCTCTTCTCGCTGCTTTTGCTTGAACTTCATGTTGCCGAAGTGCATGATAGCGCCCACTATTTTATAGGAGCCATATTTCTCATCGTTGCTGAAGCCCAAGATGTCCATGGCGTGCTGAGGAGAGACAAAGCAGTTTAGATAGATAGCACAAAATCACCACTCTGAAGTAAGGGTTGGTTCTCCCAATGACTCCTAAGGTGCTTTCCCTATCCTGGGGCTCTGGGCAGGGTGCTCTATCCAGTGGGCACCTAGGCAAGGATTTGGTCCATAGGATTTTGAATGTGAGTCCAACTCCCACATGATCTATTTGAAAGCAAAAAGACTAGCCTAGCATTCACAAGCAGGAGGTTTTCTGAACTGAGGTCTCATCATGGGAGCTGTAGGAAGTGCTCATGTGCTACAGGACGTTCCCAATGCGGGGAATTACTCTTCTCTGTCTGGAGGAGGCCGTTGATGGAGCTCAGAGTCACTCTGCTCTTTCTTGTAGGCTCATAGCATGTGCAGAGCAACTGCCAATAAACCAGAGGGAGCTCACAGCCGATTTAGAGAGGGACACATCCCCACGTCTGCCCAGAAGGAGGTTGTGCCATCCCCCAGGCCCCTGCCTTGGGCTGTGCAGTGCGAGGGAAGTACACGTACATCTGTCGCCATGAGTTCCTCGCCGTCATCCAGGTTGTCCACAGTTGTTACACCCTGAGAGCAGAAGTGGTAGTCGTAGGGGTTGAGGGAAAGCAGCAGCATATCTGTTGGGGGAAGACATGCAGAAGGTGAAGCCAGTCTGACAAAGCTGGGACAGAGGGGCAACCCTGGGCATAGATGAAGAGGTAAGGCTTCACCAGCCTCAACTAGAGGGCACCAGCTGGTGGGAGGAACACCCTTTTCAAGCCTGGGCAGGTCTGCACATGGGTCCATCTCTTCTGTGATGTGCCTCCTGCTTGCTATCTTGGGATATGGCTTGGCTGCAGACTGATTTAGAAGTGGCCATCCATGTCCTTGTGACCACCAGATAAGATTACTGCTCTGCACAGCTCTCCAGACCTGCCTAATAAGGTATTGTTCTTGAGCCAGCAACAAGCTCAAGAGCCCGCAGCCAAGAGGCTGACCACCCCAGGGGACTGTGCCAGCCAGCTTTCTGCAGTGTGGAAAGGTTTCCTGTGCACCCCATGTGATCTGGCACCTGGAGGGCAGGACTGCCGCGGTGCAAATTCGGGTCAGCTGGGACTGTCCTGGGGAACACATCTAGGATACGTCTACACCAGGGCCACTGCTGCGAGTGAGCTGTGCAGCTGTTTTCAAACTCACCAGAAATAGGTCATCTCACCAGTGTGGCTGAAGGAGCTCAGAGTAGGCTGCAAAACACCTCCCTCTACCCCAAAATGAGTAAATTTCCCGCCTGCAGATACTGAGTTCAGTGCTGTACCTGCCACACGACAAGGACTCTATGCAAGGCAGCTTTGCAAAGCCTGCTCCCCCTCTGCAGACAGACCCTGAGGGACCACTTCTTTGCTACTAGACAGCTGCAGAAAGGGCTTTAGTCTGGGTTCTCAGCCTGTGAGGATAAAGGATGCTGGACCAGATGACCTCTTGAAATCCCTTCCACCCTGAATTATCCACCAATCCCATGATCCTGCGCAGCTAGGAAAGCATTTGGGGGCAGTACCTGCGTGGTGAGCCGGGTTTGATCATTCCCTGTGGACCCCAAAGCTGACAACAGAGCCCTTTGTGCCTATTTTCAGGCTATCATGCTATAGAGGCTATGCTGCAGCTTTGGCTGCCTTACCTTGCAGCTCTGGTTTCTTCCCAGAGAGGATCTGGTAGTAGATGTGGTAGCTTCGCTCTTTGGGTTGCTGGAAAATCACTCTTGATTTTTCCAGAAGATCTAGAATCAAATAAGGCAGAGGAATTAGAGGAGGGCTTGTTCTTTCCTGGAGCTGACCCAGCATTGGTACAAATAGCGAGATGAAATCCCTCCCCGCTGTGGCTGGCACGTGTTTACTCACAGATGTCAATGTCTGCAGAGGCCAGCTTCCCTGAGGGGCCAAAATGGATCCGGATGAACTTGCCCTGAAAACATGTGCAGGAGGTAAGTGCTGGGCTCGGCTACACAGGTACAATTCTGAACAGCTCCTAGAAACCTCAGGTGACTACAAGACATGGGTAATTTCCCACTGCTTAGGCTTCTGCTGATGCCAGGCAAGTTACTGGGCCTGTGGGGGGTAGGTGGGTGAAGTTCTTTGGTTTGGAATGTGCAGACAGCATCACCTAAGGCTTTAAACACTAGGCAGGCAGAAACCTCACTCACAGCAGGTAGATCCCTGTCCTCAGACCTGTTCTGAAAGCTAAGACCTCTGCCAGGCAGTGTGACACTGAGTCTGCCCGCAGCCTCCTGCTCTGTGGTGTGCTGAGGAATCTCACCCAGGCGTGTCCCCTTTCCCTCCAAAGCACAACGACGGGCATCAAAGCGACCTGTGGCTGACGAGCTCCACATCCCACAGCAGACCCAGGCTGGGCTTAGCAAAAAAAAAAAAAATGCTACTCCCTGGAAGGGGCGTGCTTGTCTGTCGCAGCTCCAGCACTCACTGGCCCTCTCAGCTTTGGCTGAGCCACAGGCTGTGACACCAGGGTGATTCATCCTGACCAGCACACCATTTACTGCACTGACGTAACCAGAAGAAGCTTGGCATTAGCAGTCCAGTCCCACTAGGAAGCAGAACTAGCTTCCTACTACGTGCCTTTGGCTCACACCGTACACAAACACAGTACCACGAGCGATGCATCCAGCTCACACAAACGCGACACGTTAGTTCTGTCTTGCCAGGACACTTACAAAACGCGAGGAGTTGTCATTTCTTATGGTTTTGGCATTGCCAAAAGCTTCCATAGCTGGGTTAGCCTCAATGATTTGATCTTCGAGGGTGCCCTGGAAAACAAAACCAAAGGATGAGTCAGCTCCCACCCGGCCGGAGGGGATCTGTTACCAACAACACAGGGAAACAGAGTGGGGGTCCTTGCACCATCTGCCCTCTATGCTCGTTAGCTGCCTTTAAGAGCCTGCTGCTCCTGAGGCATCTTCTTGTCTCATGAGGCAATGCAGCTTGGTTTAGGGGTCAGCAGAGCTGGGTTTTGCAGCAATGCTTTCCGTGGGCTTCTCCTTGCCTAAACTGGTCCCTCTGAAGATCCAGGAGACCATCCTCTCTGCGCACAGCAGTCCTCAGCCCCTTTCTTAGGCTGCTACAATATGGAAACCGAGAGCAAGCATGCATTGTCACAACAGTCCGACACATTTCAGGCTCTTTGACTCTGCCAGACATTTTCTCTTCCACCAAACCAAAGCCTTGGACAGTTCAAATCACAACACGTTGCAAAAGAAGAGATCCAGAAAACAGGCTTGATCTACAGCTCCCTATGCCAACAACATGCACAGCAGGGCCACAGTGTGATGGGAACACATCACAGGTCCCAGCTGGCGCGATCTGCTGAACTCACTGGAGCTCTCCAGAGCAAGCCCCAAGATTAATCTCTCCCTGACTTTGCTTTTCCATTTGTGTTTCACATGCACAGTCCAAAGATAAAGAGACAGCCCCCACCTAATGCAGGCAAAGCAGGACAAGAATTTGAGGAGAGAAGCAAGAGACTTGTGCCAAGTCACACAACGGACAGTGGGGTTTGACAACAATAGCAGAGTTTGGAGGCACAGGACCCTGCAGGATTTTTCATGAGCGCTTTTGCCCATGCTCTGACACATTACAGTCCACCGGGCTTTCCTTAGGTGGGAAACACCTGGGCTCTGCCACTAAGAGCCACGCTGTCTTTTCAATATTGGGCCCACAACTGCTCCCCACCTCTGCAGCTCCAGGTGTGTGAAGGGCAAAAGAGTCAGGGAGCAGCTGTGAATCACAGCTTTGCTATCAAATTGTATTTTGTCACTTGGATATCCCTTCATCTCTTATCTTTAAATTCAGCCTGATCTAAAATGGCCTGGCCTGTGAAATTCAATGGGGGCTGCCCCATGGGCTGCCCCGAGACCCACAGATTCAGCCCCCCAGTTATCTCACTTTTAGTAAGTTTGCTCAAGTCACCTGAGACCAGTGAGCATCTCCCCAACCAAGAGTGTGCCTCAGCTAAAGTCTGTCCCTCAGGGCTCAGACAGAAAAACTGAGGGCCAAGGACATACAACCGAGCTGCTGGACTGGCTGAGCCCTTGGGGTGCTGGGAGCGCCAGGGACTAAACCTTTGCTGGATTTCTGAAGGCACTCAGTTGCTCCTGGAGCTAAACGAGCACCTCAGAAATGCACCCCAGAGAGGACATCAGCTACCTGCAATGTGGCTGAGCCAGTTCAGGTCTTCGCAGATGGTGGCATGTCCAGGCATCATCAGGGCCCCAGTCTGCAGCCAGAACCCAGCGCTACCTGAGGCAACGAGGAGCTTCCCCTGCCCCTCAGCACCGCCGCCCTCAGCTGGGCTTTGAGGCTGGGGGAGACACTAACGGCTCAGAGAGTGGAGGCTTCACCTTATGGTTGGAGAAGCCCACGCTACACCCAGGCAAACACTGTCCTGCTTAGAAACAAGCGTTTGAAGAGTAATGATCCCTTGAAGGAGAGGTTGGAGTCAGAAAGGTAGAAAGTCACTAAGAGAAGAAACACCAAAGCTTCAAACTATAGGAAGGTGAGAGGTACAAAGCCAAGCAGAGAACTAAATGCTGCCCAGGTGCTGGGGCAGCTCTTGCTCCCAGATCCAAGGCAGAGGTCTTGCAGGCATTCCTCATCACCCTGCCATAGCTCTGTGGTGCAGCAGAATCTGTCCTCAGCATTAAAGATTAGGAGTCTACAACACTTACCCCAGTTTTAGTGGCAAGAGCTGCCTAGAGAAAGGAAAGAAAATTGTCTTTAGAAATCCAGAAAAGCCAGGCAAGAACCACAAGAAGCATGGTCAGAAAAGCAGGGCATGACCATTTAGTGCCAAAAAACATCCAAGAAAAAAAAAATGGGAGGATTAAACTTTATAAGAGATGCCAAAAAGTTGTTAAATAGATTAGCTCAAGAAAATAAAGAATGCGTCAAAAAGTAAGAACAGTTAAATCCAAACCCAAAGAAGAGTAAAGAAAATAATGCTGAAGTATTGCTTGTCTGATACCTAAAGCAGCCAGTTTGCTTCTACAAGGGAAAAGCAGGCTGGAGACTCAACATATCAAGAGGAAATAAGCAATTGCAAGGGCAGCTCAAAAATAACCAGCACCAAAGAAATGCAAGAATCAAAACAAGAGCAAGAAAAGCACAAGGTAGAAAAGGGTCAAAATGAACAAGAGGAGAAAAAAAGGAGAAAAGGATGAAAAGCAAGGCTTAAAAGAGGCAAAGTGGGAAATGGCAGGCTTATTCCATTCTTTAAGTGCGCCTTAAGAAGAAGATCTGTGGGGTGTTGAAGGAGGAAGAGAAGATAAAGAGGGCATCTAAAGCACCTCTTCTGGGCTGCACAGATTGAGCAGCTGCATTAAAAAAAAAATCCATTTCCCCTTGAGCAGAATAATTTCAAGCCTTGCTTGTTCAAAAGTCAAGGGAAAGCCAAGCCCTGGGTGGGTCAGACCAAAACACGCTTCCAAATGCAAAAAGTTGGGGAAAGGAAAAAAAAAAAAAAAGTAAAAAGAAGAAGAAAGGGGGAAGGGGAAAAAAAAAGAAAAAAAAATAACAAAGAAAGGAAGAAAACAGCAAGAACTTGTTTCAAAAGAGGGTCTTACTAATTTCTTGCCGGGTGTGTCGCCCAAGGCTGCGACAATGGCAAAGTACTGAATGACCCGCTTGGTGTTTACAGTCTTACCAGCACCAGATTCTCCGCTTAGAGTAACAGAAATACACAGATCAAGGACACGAGGCAAAGAACAGGCAAAACTTCAAACAGAGACCCTGCCAATCTGCCGCCCCACTCATCATGCCGGGAGGGAGAAGCAAAGTATCAGAGGGACGGGGAGGCCAGCACTGTCAATCCCCTCCAGCCTGGGGGTGTACGTGCTTGTCTTTGGGGTTTGTCTTTGGAGCGAAACCCAGCAACATCCTCGCCGTGTCCTCCGGCTGCAAGCCCGGGCTCTGGCTGCCTCCTCGAAGGTGCCGCGGGGGGTCAGCTGCCCTCCGCAGATATGGCGGGAGGCGCTGGCGCCCACCAAGGCTGTACGGCCTTGGCCCCAGGGCTTCAGCTGTCCAGGATCAGCCAGGAACCAGCCTCGCCTGCTCCCGCTCGGGTAGTTGCAGCACACCCCGCTTTGCTGGGGGCTCTTGGAGATGGCGGCGGCACCGCGCCAGGGTGAATCCTGCCTGGGCGAGCCTTGGGGCCGGTGTGCCCAGCGTGGGGAGCGGGCGGCCGTGGGCCCCACTGAGCTCATCCCTATAGTTAGCTGCTCTCCCATTGTAATCCCAGATCACAAAGAGCCGGGGGGGAGCCGGGGAGCAGAGCCGCCACCGGACACGCGCCAAGCATCTCTCCGCAGCCCCTGCCTTTCCTAATTAGGCTATGGCCGAGGCTAAAAATGTCCGTGGCTCCTGGCAGCGGTGTAGAGTCCTTTAGAGTCCTTTATATAGCCCTTATCTATATGTCACTTGAAATCAACCTGGCCTACACCCTCCCACATCACCCTCCTCCCCCGCCACCGCCCCTCCGGCCCTG